TTAGATTTCCATTCATCAAAACCTCCATTGATATACCAGACTTTTTTCCTTTATTTCCTTTATTTGCAGAATCCTTTAGTTGACTAGTATTTTTAGCTTAGAATTACCCAGTTTACTACTTCTTTCTGTTCCTAAGGTCCTTGCTCTCTTTATTTCATGTCTGAACTACTTTGGTAGCCTCTACTTACGAATAGTTTTAAAAAATCCTTAGCCATTATATTTCCAGATATTGTTATTGTCCCATTCTACTCTGTCCTTCTGTGACAGATTACCTGTTAGACCTTTCCCCCATCTTGTCATCAACTTTCTTGAACACAATCACATTTTATAAAGTCCACATCCAATAACTCAGATATATCTATTTTTCTCTGGGCCTTTGGTCAATTGGACTTTTCTCCTGATATTCTGTGTAATTTGTGTATAAACTCTAGACATAATTTGAGCTTCTGGGTGTTGTTTTCTTCCTGGGAGGATTTACTTTTGCTTTTGGCAGGCAGCTAGAGTGGGAGCATATCTTTTTTTTTTTTAAGATTTTATTTATTTGAGAGAGCGAGAGAGCACAAGCAGGGGTGAGGAGCAGAGGGAGAGGGAGAAGTAGGCTCCCCAGTGAGCAGGGAGCCCGTTCAGGGCTTGATCCCAGGACCCAGAGATCATGACCTGAGCTGAAGTCAAGACACTTAACTGACTGAGCCGCCCAGGTGCTTCAGAGAGTGGGAGCGTATCTTCTTAATACAATCTGGGATTAAGTTTATTGGAGGCTGGTCTTCAGGGTTTTCATCTCTACTCCTACAGTGTAGCCCTTTGAGTGTCCCTAGTGAAAGGCTGGAGTGTTTACCAGGGCCCCTCCTCCTTGAGAAGCCAGGAATTACAGTTTTTGTACTCCCCAGTCCTTTAAGATGTCAGGAAGCTTCTCAGCTCTGCTACTTGAGATTTAGAAAAGCAACCCTAAATGTTGGGTTCACCTCTCTGCTCCTCCCTTCTCTCCATATTTTGGACCCTCAAGTCCTTACTGCCTTGATAGCTCAGTCTTTAAGCAGATTTTTTTTTAAAGTTTCTTGACCAGCTTTTCTTATCTTGCTGATCTACCAGAAATGGAAATCTCAAGTAGCTTAAACACAATGTTGTCATTTAATGGGACATAATCTAAGTGCATAAAGAACTACAACGAAATCTTGAGCTTAGATTTATTCCAAATAGAAATGTTGGAATTATAATTCTGAAGCTATTTCATATATGTTATAAAGCAAATATATGGATAGATAAATATTATTAGGAACCAAAATTTTCACTGTGAGAAAAATGAGATACAAATATAAAAGAAGACAAGGATAAACTTTGCAATGTTAAATTTGAATCAGCAATATCAGTATGACCTCATAATTTTAAAAAACATTATTCTTAACTTTCTTCATTGAAAGGGCCTAGAAGTAATGACACTCAATAGCAGTGAACACACCTAGTACCCAGATTTTGATTTCTAAAATGAACCAGTGCTTGAAGAAATGGCTTATCCCAGGTCTGGGGCAGGGAAAGTACAAGGTGAGTTTGGGACATTTTATGGTGCTAGGAAGCAAAGAATTACTTGAAGACTGGTGAGGTCATGTCAAAAGGACAGATGGTGGCTTGAACTAGACTCCCACTGGCTAAATTTGAGACAAACTGAATATTAAGTATTGATGGTAATAGATCATAACACATTAAAATTAAAAATTTATAGTGTTAATCAGAAAAGTAAATAGTTGAGGTTGCTGGTAGGGGAAGGAGGTGGAGAAAGTTTACTTTTTTTACAGAAGCTATGTAATAAATGTAGAAGGAAAGACAGAAAAATCACCATTTTGTGATTTTTGTAATCCCCAGTATAATAATTGATTCAGGCAGGATCATCAATGGATTCTAAAATGTTGGGTGGAAGATTATTGAGCAGGATATTGTTGGGGAATGGATATTCACTGCCTAACCAGGTAATCAAATTCAGTTTCATTAATATGGTATAATTTGATATTATTTTCCTCCTGTTAGAATGCAAGAAGACACATGCATCAACTGTGTAGTATTTATTTCTGCTAAAAATGACTTACCCAAGTTAATGAAACAGTCAGCCAAATCTCGAGTATGACTGGTCTGGACTCAAACCAAAAGTCAATATCATTAAAAGTTAGAAAAGGAGGGAGGAATCAGGGGAAATGTTCCAGATTAAAAGAGACCTAATCAAAATGCAGAGCAGGAGCCTTAATTAGGGAAAAAGAGAACAACAATAAATGACATTTTGAGTGACAATTGGAGAAAATAGAGTATCGACCATATTTTATATAAAATTACGGTATTAATCTTATAATGGTATAAAGAATAATTTTAGGGGACACGTGCTGAAATGTTTTGGGGTGAACAAGGAGAAAAGGTGGCAGAATGTTGACAATTGGTGAATCTAGCTGAAGAGTGTACAGGTATTTATTGTACTATCAACTTATAGATTTGAAACTCAAGTTAAAAAGTTGTGGGGAAGCTAAGTAGTAATCAGTTAAGATCTGCCTGAATAGTTCCGTGCTACTTGTACTGCTGTGTTAGCATTATTATATTAATTTGTTTATAAATTGACCTTTAGGACTTGGGTTTATAGAATAGATTTATACAGTGACAGATTTATCTTTTGACAGGTGCTTTGGAGCACTATGTTAATTGCCTGGATCTGGTAAACAAGAGACTGCCTTATGGCCTTGCTCAGATTGGAGTGTGTTTTCATCCTGTTTCTGATACTAAGCAGACATCTGATGGTGTTAAAAGGTACCAAAAAATGGCAAATAACTTGGCCTTGTATTTAATCAAGAACCAGTCACTTTCACTTCAGGATAGATTATATAATCTTCACGTAAGTAACTATCTGATATTTCTGCTATCCAAAGAATCGGTGAGAAGACTGAGGCTTCACTGGTTTGGTTTACTTCAGCAAGAACTGCAGGCCAGTGGCTTGATTTCTGGTTACGTCATCGACTCCTGTGGTGGAGAAAGGTATACCCTTAATTTACTCATTAATAGGTGAAGTGTCTTAGTGTGTCAGAGATAATACTTGTCTACAATAAATGAAATTTAATTGATGTGGGGCTGTTATGTTTGTAAGAGACAGCTCTAATAAATCAGTAAGTACAAATAAAATCCTCTTTGTAATGATTTTCATTGTTCCATATAAAAAGTTACTTTGTTAAAAAATATCTGTTGATGTCTCTCTTGCTCAGAAGCTTTTGTCCATAAGGCTTTGCATTCGAGCTAGAGTTCAGATGCCTTACTTGGCATTCCTGGCTGGGATAGAGTTTGACCTTTGCACACCCTTAAAGCGTCAGCCTTTGCTCCCTGCCTCTGTCCATGAACTCTCCATATTTGTCAAGATGATTCTGTGATTTATCATCAAGTTTTAGTACATGCTGAAGAGGAAAGAGTAGGTATTTGTGGTTCATCATTGTCTTGCTTTTCTCCAATTCTTAAAAATCCCCAAACACCCACTCAATTAAGTGGAATAATTACAAATAATCACACTCTTCACAGAGGGTAAGAACGGTGAGTATACACTTTCTTCTCTATCCCTCTTAGTTTATGGTCACCTTCCCTTCTTATTAACTGGCCAAAAAAAGCTAGATCACTCCAGCAGTTTTTCTCTGTAGTTCTTTCAGGCTAAAAACAGTATTTTTAGCAATACATTTGCTCATATTTAATTGAACTTCATAGTTTTTATATGGGACCTGACCGGTTTCATTCAGTTGCCACATAAAAGTCTCAGGCAACTTTACTTTTTAACATTTAGTTTCATAAATTAATAAAACAAACTTTCTTGAGGCACCTGGGTGGCTCAGTTGTTAAGCGTCTGCCTTCGGCTCAGGTTGTGATCCCAGGATTCTGGGATCGAGCCCCGCATCGGGCTCCCTGCTCTGCGGGAAGCCTGCTTCTCCCTCTCCCACTCCCCCTGCTTGTGTTCCTGCTCTCACTGTGTCTCTCTCTGTCAAATAAATCTTTAAAAACTAACTTTCTTTTCCAGTTTGCTGTGAGCCCATCTAACTTCAGCAGCAGCGATTGTCAGGATGAAGAGGGACGAAAAGGAAACCACCTTTATTACAATTTCCCATGGGGAAAGGAGCTAATAGAGACCCTGTGGAATCTAGGAGACCGTGAACTTTTACACATGTGTCCCGGAAATGAGTCTCAATTACACGTATGTTTTACCTTGAGCTCCTATCCATCCTTTACGCATATTCTCTAACTGATCATTTCTGAAACCATTTGAGAACAGGTTGCAGACTTGAGGCCCCATGACCTCTTAATGCTGCAGTATGTATTTCTGAAGTGCAAGGACAGTCACCTGTGTAACCGCAACATGGCCATCAAGATCAGGAATGTGCCAGTCATCCATTAGGACCATCCAGTCCATGTAATCCTTCAGATATAAGTGATTATCCTAATAATGCCCTTTATTGGTCCATTATCCAATTTAGGATTTCATGTAGTTGTCATGTCTCTTTAGTCTCCTTCACAGGAATAGTTCATTTTATCTTGTCTTTCATGACCTTGACATTTTTTTTTTTAAGATTTTTTTTTTTAAGTAATCTCTACACCCAGTGTGAGGCTTGAACTCACAACCTGGAGATCAAGAGTCACCTGCTCTACAGACTGAGCCAGCCAGGCAGCCCATGACTCTGACATTATTGAAGGATGCAGGCCTTTGTAGTTACTTTGCAGAATGTCCCTCCGTTGGAGTTTCTGACATGTTTTCTCATGATTTATGTATTTTTGCTTAGAAAACCATAGAAATGATGCTGCCATCATATCACGAGGCATATGATACCATATTTGTTACTGGTGATGTTAACTTTTATCTCTTGGTTAAGATAGTGCTAAATAACCTGTTTCTGACCACGTTTTGACTGAACGAGTTGCAGCATACATTGGTGATTCTTGTGCAAATCAGTGATTACTATGAGGGTAGCCAAATGGTATCTTTTTTTTATTAATTTTATTATTTCATTATTTCTTTTAGATTTATTTATCAACAGTATACTGTGGGGTTGAGCTTTTCCCTCCTCTCTTTCTTTTTATGGGCTTACAGATTCCTGTTTTTCTCAAGGAGTTACCATCTGTCACTACCATTCTTTGATGCTAAAATTGTCCTAGACTTGGCCAGTGTCCTTTTGACATATCCCAATCACTCTCTGAGCACTTCCTATTTTTTGTAGCAACTAATTGTTCTGGGATCATCTTGTTTCTTGGTCTAGTTGTGGAGTCAGCCATTTCTTCAGGGAAACTTAGTTCTTATTAGAGGAAAATGTATTTAAAATTTGAGATTCTGCTATTGGGTGTACTCCTTGCAACTGGGTATCATTGCTTCTGGGCCCTTTATGTGGACACAGCTAGTAAATATTTTGAGGCAGTTACGTACATTTATGTTTACACACTTATCTCTGTATTTGTGTCTATATTTACCTATTATTAAAAACTAGGAGTTCATACCAGTTCTTCAGGTTCTAGTCTAATGCCACAGGGTTTATTCTAGCTTTACCTCTTTCCACATTTGTAATTCTCTTCTCTGACAGTGAGAAACGTGGTTTCCAGTATCTTTAGTGTATTGATTTTTCATTTCTTGTATATAACCAAACTCCCTGCCGTTATTACGCAAAGATCAGCCCTGACACACCCCTTGTCCCACCGCACCAGGTTCTCTAGATGAGCTTCTGAACCCAGGGGAAGGAAAAAGGAAGAAAGACGTTAGAGAACGTGACCGTGGACATGCTGCTTCCCCCTCCCTTTAATAGCCCCCCTCACTAGGTGCTCTGACTAGAACATAGAGAAGGAGGAAAGTTAGAAAGCCTGGCCTTCAACCTCAGTGTCCCCTTCTTCACTAGTCACACTGGCCAAAACTTTGGCCCTGGGTCAACCCCAGTTGGATGCACTAGCCAGCTGACCAAACTCAGGACTGGCCAAAGGAAAAAGGTGCTTCATTTACTTCCTAAAATAAACAGAGTTTTCAAAAATTTAAACAGGTGATAGAATTTTTTTAGAGAAGGAATTTTGCCTTTGCATCCCACAGGGCACTTTGTAAATAGCTGTAATATTTTTCAGGGTGCCCAGTGGGTGCAAAGTTTTAGAAGCCATGTGGATGGATAGAATTGTGGCTGAGCCCTATGCTGACCCTCTCTTGAGTGGTTCCAGATTTGAATGTTTAGATTTTCTGACTGGCCACAGCTGGAGTTTTATGTGCTATTTGGTGACAATACAGTCTTCTCAGTGAGAAAAGGTATTTGGAACTTGAAAATAATTAAAACATAGTAGTTCTCATCTTATTAGAGAAAGTAGATTAATCTTAAATACAAATAAGATAACTAATAAAAAATTAAAAAGGTTATGGGGCACCTGGGTGGCTCAGTTGGTTAAGCAACTGCCTTTGGCTCAGGTCATGATCCTGGAGTCCCGGGATCAAGTCCCACGTCGGGGGGCTCCCTGCTCGATGGGGAGTCTGCTTCTCCCTCTGACCCTCTTCCCTCTCGTGCTCTCTATCTCTCATTCTCTCTCTCTCAAATAAATAAATAAAATCTTTAAAAAAAATTTAAAAAGGTTATTTATGAATATTTTCCCATAACCTCAACACCACCACATTTTATTTTGCGATATTCAGCTCTCATATGAAACTTAACTTGGTTATCATAGTCATTATAGTTAAATAGTCATTATCATAGTTAAAAACCAATCAATCTTGTGACTAGGAATTTAATTTTAAGTTCATTAATTTTTTTAGTAATCTACACCGAACTCATGACGCCAAGATCAAGAGTCGCATGGTCTTCTGACTGAGCGAACCAGGCACCCCAATCTTATGACTAGGAATTTAAAGACAATCTCTTTGTCATGGCTTTTAGTCTCTTATTTAGTTCATTATTGTGGTAACTTTCACTGTCTCAATGAAAAACTTTATTTTGCAGAGTTTTACTCTCCATTAAATTGTTGCTCTTCCATTTTCATAGTTCTCAAAATTGTTCATCATTAGTTGACATAAAGTGTTATAAAATAATAAATAGAATTCCTGCCATTTAATATGCTTTTTTGAAAGGCTTCTTAGGCTATTTTGTATTTGTTTTTAGTAAATTTTACAGTTAACATCTAAATATATTCTTGGAGGGATTTTTAGAGAGTGGTAAAGCAGATCAGTAAAGTCTGAAGAACAGAGTTAGGATAGAAATTCATTCTGGATGGTATGAGAAATCAGGTATTTTAGCTAAGAAGAGTTGCCATTGGATATCTCTGCATCCTTGGATATGAAATTTTCAAAGACTTAGAAAACAATAGGTGCACCAGCCTGGCTCAGTCTATAGAGCATGTGTGTGACTCGATTGATCTCTGGGTTGTGAGTTCAAAGCCCCACACTGGGCACAGAGATTACTTAAAAATAAAATCTTAAAAAAAACAACAACAACATTAAAGTCTTCTTAATATTTAAATATGATTTAGTCTTTTTTTATATTCAAATGGCACCACAGTAGCTTGCAGCGCCTGAGTTATATTAAGTATCAGTTCTATAAATGTGTAAAAGACATCAACTAATAAAGTTAGAATAGAATCCCAGATTTCAGGAAGTGTACTGCCTTTTTTTTAAATTTAAAATCAATTGATTAACATACAGCGTATTATTAGTTTCAAAGGTAGAATTCAGTGATTCATCAGTTGCATATAACACCAGTGCTCATTACATCAAGTGCCCTCCTTAATACCCATCACCCAGTTACCCCATCCCTGCACCCACCTTCCCTCCAGCAACCCTCAGTTTGTTTCCTGTAGTTAAGAGTCTCTCATGGTTTGTCTCCCTCTCTGATTTCAGCTTATTTTAAAAGTATTGCCTTTTGAGGACAAATTTACATTAATCTTTACAGTACCATATGCCATTAAAATGGGTTTAAAATGCCAATACAGGGGTGCCTGGGTGGCTCAGTTGTTCAGCGTCTGCCTTCGGCTCAGGTCATGATCTCAGGGTCCTGGGATCAAGTCCCACGTCAGGCTCTCTGCTCAGTGGGGAGCCTGCTTCTCCCTCTCCCTCTGCCCCCCACGCATGCTCACATACTTCCTTTTCTCTGTCTCAAATATTTTTTAAAAAGGGATGCCTGCATGGTTCAGTCGTTAAGCATCTGCCTTCAGCTCAGGTTATAAACCCAGGGTCCTGGGATCGAGCCCTGCATCGGGCTCCCTGCTCCCTGGGAAGCCTGCTTCTCCCTCTCCCACTCCCCCTGCTTGTGTTCCCTCTCTTGCTGTCTCTCTCTCTGTCAAATAAATAAATAAAATCTTTAATAAAAAAAGCCAATACATATGTGTTAATGAAGACTGTGCTTGATCATGGATAATTAATAGAAGGTGAGGATTGACAAATTGTTTTTTTAAGTATTAGAGAATTACATGAATGTTCAGATGACTGTGATGATAGTAAAAAAAGAATGAAGGTAGAACTGTTTATATGCAAAACCTTTTAAATTTTTAGGATTGACATTGAAAAAATTTGAGATGATTATCAGTTTAAAAGAAAGACAATAATAAGTCTGTTTATCAATCCCTGATTTATATCATGCATTACAGTATATTTTATATTCTTAATTATAGCCTTAAAGTAAATACCCCAAACCGGGTTTTTAAAAGAGGTTTGCTTAATATAAAAACCTTTCATTTCCAGAGATTATACTCCAAACCCCTATCCCTAACCATACCAGTTTTTTTCTCTAAGGGCCCTGCTGAACTTTATTATAATATTATCCTCTTTATTATAATGCTCACCTAGGGACCATTGGAAAAATAGTGATGCTGAGGTCCCACTCCCATCCAGGTAGTTCAGAATCTCTGGGAGTGGGGCCCAAGCATAAAACCTTTATGTTTTAAAATTCAAGACAGTTCTAATACGTAGCCAGTTGAGACTCACTGATCTGAACCCTGATCTCCCTGAGAGTGGGGAATAGGTCATAACCGTTTTTGTGGGCCCAGTGCATAGCACAGGGTTTGCCCAGAGTGGATGCTTTGTAGAATGAATTTGTAAGTTTGTGTTCTGATTCTATAAGTCTATAGTTTTAAGAGAGAGCTCTGCTAACAGATTCTGTATTTTTGTTCTACTTTTCTTTGAAGGGCCGAGATGGACGAAAAAATGTGGTTCCACATGTTTTATCTGTTAATGGAAATCTGGACCGAGGTGTGCTGGCTTACCTCTACGATTCTTTCCAGCTCACAGAGAACTCGTTTACAAGGAAGAAGAATCTTCATAGAAAGGTGCTTTTGATATTTCAGAGATAAACTTGGGAAACTAAAAATATATGTTTTTCCATCATATGTTAGTGGGCTTGGTTTTTTAACACAAACTGTGAGTAATAAATTTCTTTCCATGCAGGTTATTTTACATTTTTCATTTTTTAGAATCTGGCCACAGAAGTAATAAGCAGGTTCTCACAGAATAGAACAAGGCATTCCTATTGGGTAATCTCAGAGGCATTTCTCTTTGATCCTGGCAGACAGGTAGAGAGCAATCTCTGATTCTTAGCCGCTGAGCCTTTCCCTCAGTGGCTTACATTTATTTGTATCACAGAGTGTTAAGCAGGACTATGTCAGACTAGCAAAACTTGTGAGATTGACCTCTCTGCTTCTAGTCTGACCCCAAGTGGCTATTCACTAGATCACAGGAGCTATCTTTGGGCCTGGGTCAAGGACATGTTTATGGGCTCACAATCAAGAGAGAAGAGGGACTGAAGCTATAGGAAAGAAAATAAATGCTTAAAGGAGTGAGATTTTGGAAGAAACATTAAGGGTCAAAACAGGATCAAGAACACTAGTGGAGGGATTGGTCTTGAAAAGGAGTTACTTGAAAAAGCACAGAGGAGAAAAATGATGGTATAGATATAAATAGGCTACCAGGGCTGGTTTAGCCTTTGAAGGAAGTTTTCCTCATATCCTCTATTTTCTTAGGGATTATTAGCTTAGAAAGCAGGATTATTAGCTTAAAATGTGGAGGAGTAGAGGTTTAAGTGGCAAGAATTTAGAGTATTCATATTCCCCTTGAATGTGAAAGGGAGCTGCCCCAAATCAAAAGTTTCAACATGTTGAGTCCTCAACTGGGTTTGGAAACCATGAATTTGTAGTACCACTTTGCATAGCTGAATGATTTATTTATTATGCAGTGTTCATTTAGCCTGATATGCCCATAAAGAAAGTCGCATTATAGAATTGTTCTAGGGCTTGGAATTTATAGGATATATAGCAAACGAGGGATCCTTTCTATCTCTCATACCCCACATCCAAATTATCAGCAAAAACCATTTGACTCTGTCTTCAAAATATATTCTGAATCTGACCATTTCTTACCACTTGGCCTCTTTCCACTCTGATCTAAGCCACTACCATCCCCTCCCACTAGCACTGAGTGGCCCTTTTAAAAGGTACATGTTACTTTGCCCCGCTGCCCAGAACACCCCACTAAGCTCCTTGTTTCCTTCAGAGGAAAAGGCAAAGCCCCTAAAGTGTTTTACAAAACCCTTCCCTTTTGACCTCCTCCACCCCCCACCTTACTCATTCTGTTCCAATAGCACAGACCCCTTTGCTGTTTCTAGAAAATGTCAGTCGTGCTTCCAGCTCAGAACTTTGTCATTTGTTCTCCCCTTTGCCTGAAATGCTCTCCCTCCAGGATCCAGAACCACCTTTTAAGTGTTCGGTCAAATGTCACCTCAGAGAGACCTCTTACCACCTTATTTAAAATTGCAAACAGTCCTCTCCAACCCACCCCTCTCCAGCACTTTCTATCTCCTCCCCCGCTTTTTTAAAGCACTTAACCACCTTCAGATATATTATTTACTTGTCTATTATCTCTTTATCCCCACCATGAGGGGCAAGGAGTTTTGTCCCTAGTACCTAGAACTGTTTCTGGCACCAAGGAGCCATTCAGATGTTTGTTGAGTGGATGGATGAATAAGAAGAGTGGTAGGTTTTGGCAAGAGAAAGTTCAATTGATGAGTCCCATGGCTGGGGCTGAGTAGGGAGGGCAGTGATACCCAGAAGGGGCATTTGGATTGAGGGAAAATGGAGTTGTCAGAAAACAGGAGAGTATCAAGTGAAATTACCTCTACAGAATATCTAGTGGAGAAATCAATGAGCAGCTAGATAATAGCCAGCTGAATACATCATTACATGATTGATGATCTCAGCTAGCTTCCATTTTCACACAAAATTTTTATGGTTTAAGAAGTTCCATGTTTGATGATGCTTGTGTTAGACTTAAACAAGATGTGCTATCCTTTCCCCCCCCCCAATCTCTTTCAATTGCTTTAGGTACTTAAACTTCACCCTTGTTTAGCCCCTGTTAAGGTTGCTTTGGATGTGGGAAGAGGCCCAACGGTGGAATTAAGACAGGTGGGTTAAGTGAGTTTTAGTATCATGATTTTAATTATAACCATTACTTCAAATAAATGAGTAACTTTACTGTTTAAATTTTTGATTCATTTGCTTTTTTAAAAATTTAATTAAATAGCTGTGGATAAATACTGTGGTTTATTATAGATAACTTGAAGCATAGTATATAAAAGAAGCTGCATACAGCTCAGTGATTTTGCTGTTAAAGTCATACTTACTCATAGTTGCCTTTTTCAAATGAGTATGCATAGTTTTGTTAATCCAAGTATTCATACAGATGTCTAGTGAATTCTTGCTCACTTAACATTTTTAACCTGATACTTATTGGTATAAGCACAGGTTCTAGATCTATACCTTATTTTGGTTCTTCTAATCTATCTGGTCTAATTAAACACTCTTGAGAAGCCACGAGGGTGGTTTTAGTTTCTTTCCAGACACCTGTTCAGCCGTCATGCTGGGTCCTGGGTGACTCATACCCACCCAGCACCTGAGTGAGGACACTAGCAAGATTCACCCAGCTTTCTTAGGCTCCTGTGGAGAGGTGTGGGAAGGTGGGGATAGTGCACTCAGGGGAAGGGAAGGTAGTGGTTTAATTTCCACTTTTCCCCCTGGGGTTGTGGCAGCCTCCCCAAGACCCTTGTAGTAGAAGGTCCTTGGGTTTTTGTTTTGTTTTGTTTTGCTTGAAGGACAAAAAAGTCTGCTCCCTAAATTTTTGTCATTGCAATTGCAGGTCTTGTTTTGTTTTGGTTTTGTTTACATATAAGAACATAGTATTTTGTCCCTTGTGTGTTTTTTAATTTACCAAAAGGGAGTATGTTGTATATCTCATTCTGTTTTTAACTTTTTTCCCCTCAGTGGTAGCACAGAACTTTCTGGGCTATGCAAGGGGTTTTGCTGGTTATATACATGGAGATGGAATTTCTGGATAAAATGGACACATATCCTTAATTTCACTATTGTCAGTGAGATTGTCTCCAGATTGGCTGCACCTGTTTGTATTCTCATGGTGTGGGGGTTCTCATTTCCTTAGGCCAGAGCTACTTCTCTTCTACCTCCCAACAGGAAGAGCAGATGTTTTTGTTGTCAATCACTAACTTTTTAAAATAAAATCCACAATGATGTTTATTTTTCTCTGTTAACTTCTTAGACTTATTAATATTTATATTCTCACCTATCCCCAAAATATCAAGTACCTTCACACTCATTGGTGTTTCCCTGAATGCACATTGTTGGTCCTCACCCCAGAGCTGCTGAATCAGAAACTCTGGTAATGAGGCAGAGCAACCTGTGTTTGACAAGCCCTCCAGGGGATTCCAGTTTGAGAAAGTTTGAGAAATTTGAGAAACAGTGCTGTAGCTCAGGCATGCCCTCCCCCACCCACCACGGCCACCCTTCCCTGCTGGGCCATTTGGTGTTGTCTGGAGACATTTTTGGTTGTCACAAGTGGGAAAGGGAGTGCTATAGGCATCTCAGGGAGGCCACAGATGCTGCTAAATATCCTAACGTCAGCAGTGTGGAAGGGGAGAAATCCTGCTCTAGAGTTTTAGCTCCCAATTGTTAAGGGTTAAAATTTTTGCTTTGGGAGCGCCTGGGTGGCTCAGTCGTAGTCGTTAAGCATCTGCCTTCGGCTCAGGTCATGGTCCCAGGGTCCTGGGATCGAGCCCCATGTCGGGCTCCCTGCTCTGCGGGAAGCCTGCTTCTCCCTCTCCCACTCCCCCTGCTTGTGTTCCCTCTCTCGCTGTGTCTCTCTCTGTCAAATAAATAAAATCTTGAAAAAAATAAAAATAAAATTTTTGTTTTGTTTTGCCTCACCATTGCTTGTGAAGAAAACAGTAAAGTTTATTATGTAATATTACTCATTATTCTGTATTTCCAGTCAGGCTTTGTGTCCAGCATTCCCACTTAAAACCAATCATTCTCTTCTTGAAACGTTTTTTTTTAGTTGGCTTCAGGAACACCACTCTCCTCATTTTCTTCATACTTGTCTGGCTACTCCTTTGTTTCCTTTACTGGCTCTTTCTTCTCTTCCTGAGGTGGTGGTGTAACCCTGGGGCTCAGTTGCCAGCTCTCAGATGAGCTCACAGTTAGCACAGCCCTTTGCACTTATGCTTTTTTCTGACAGAATCTGTTTCGGTTTTGTTCCTGTTTTGAAGGGTAATGATGATGATAAAAATGCTTGTATCTGTTATAAAATTTTCTCTTAGGGAAGATTTGCGTTTAGTATTTAGCTTTGCAGTGCTTAATCTCATTTTCAGAGGAAGTATGCAATTAGTAAGTATACAGTGTATGAATTGTAAACAATATGATCACATAGCTATAAGAATTTATGCCTCGTGTTAAGGACTGGAAAAAGTGATTTGTGGTTTCACAAAAACAGGGTAGTCATTCTAGCTACTTTTACTTCGTTATATTTGAACTGTTTGTATTTTTTTCCTCAGGTCTGTCAAGGGTTATTTAATGAATTACTAGAAAATGGAATTTCTGTGTGGCCTGGTTATATGGAAACTGTGCAGTCCTCATTTGAACAACTTTATTCAAAGTAAGATTGTCTTGTCACTAAAATATGTATGTCTGTTCAGTTTTTTATCATATGTGTCTTTACGAGTAATAGAAATCTCTTCTAAATATCCTTCTAAATAAATGTAAATATATATATAATTAAAAATATTCCTAACTTTCCCATTTATACCCCATACCCCTAGTTAATTGCTACAGCAGGGAACAATATTCATTGGTATATTTGAGCACATATCATGTGCAAGTTCAAGACTTAATGTCATGTAGTATGTGCACCTGAGTTTATCATTTTATCAGGGATGCAATTATGTGTAGATGCATTTATTGAATCAGGATTGAGGGAACACGAATGGAGTGCCTTTTCCTTGTTGGTGCTGTGGTTCATTCTGAGGCTGAGTGGAAGGTAATTCCATCCCAGACAAAGGACAGAGAACTAGTTTCAGTGATCAGCACCTCTGTTCACCCAGTTGCTCCAGACTGATACCTGGATTTATCATCCTTAACTCCTTCCTCTTCCTTACTCTCCACCACCCCCAATTCATCACTAAATGTTGTCAGCCTGCTTCCTAAATAGTATCAGATCCATCTCTTTCCATCCTCACTGCACTACCCACATCAAAGTCACCGGTGTCTTTTGGCTGGGTTCTTTTTTTTTTAAGATTATTTATTGATTTATTTGAGAGATAGAGCACAAGTGGGGGGGTGCAGAGGGAGCGAGAAGCAGGCTTCCCGCTGAGCAGGGAGCCTGATGTGGGGCTCGATCCCAGGACCCCGAGATCATGACCTGAGCCAAATGCAGAGACGCTTAACCGACTGAGCCACCCAGGTGCTCCTTCTGGCTGGATTCTTGTAGTAATCTCCTGATTGATCTTCTGTCTCCAGTCTTAGCCCCTGCTATTTCATTAACTTCCATTTTTAAGGTAATCCATTCTTCCCTCCTTTGCATTTGTTACCTTCGTAGCTTTTTGTGTTGAATATCTATCTTTTGGGTGAAAAGTTGGGAAACTTTATGTTTTTCTCTTCAGTTCTCTAGTAACTTGTTAAAATCACCTTTCAGATGATGTCAGAGGAAAAATAAGTTTCTATAGTAAAGCAATTAATGGTTTCATATAAAAGTGGTGGTGCTTGAACTCTCCAGTCCCTGAGTTCTAAAGTCTTATCCTTTGAGTCATTTAAGGATAACTGAGTGAACATTATCAAGTTAGAGTTGTCTTTTGAATGGTAAAGTCTTTATTATCCCAGAATATTTTTAATGAAATATTTATTAAGCGTACATACTATGGTTTTTTAAGAGGATTTTTTAAAAAGATTTTATTTATTTGGGGAGGGGGTTGGGTGCACACGCATACGCAAATAGGGGAAGGGAGAGGGAGACAATCTCAAGCTGAGTGCGGAGCCCACTGCTGGTTCGATCACACGACCCTGAGATCATGACCCAAGTCAAAACCAAGAATTAGTTGCTCAACTGACTGAGCCACCTAGGTGCCCCCACAGTTAACTATGTTTTATGCACTTTGATAACAGCAGTAAACAAGACAGAAAAATTTCCTGTTCTTATGAAGCTTATATTCTAGTAGGACAAAGTAGACAATAAACAAGTAAACAGATAAATAATTTCTGATGGAGTCCTATAAAGAAAACAGACAATGAGAATCATGTGTCTTGGGTAAACAGAAAGAAGGCCAGTGTGGATATATTCAGTTATTGCTGAACTAGAAATGATAAGTTACCATTCTAAGCTATATATTAGGTAAGCATGATTTTGGTATAATTTGTTGTATACAAGATCTTTATCAGAGTAGTATTATAAGAGATTTAGTCTAAAGTAATGTTTCTTGGATTGTATACAAGCATCAAAAAGCTGAGATTATTCTGAGGTTCATCCATAATTTCACCCCAAATGATGTATTGAGGACCAGTGTTTATTAGATTTTATTTTCTTTTATGATTTTTCATCTATTACAATAAGTCAGAGAAACTTTCTGAGAAATTTACTTTGAATATGGTTCAGAAACTTTAAAAAAAGTGTTTTTTTGGTTCAACTCTCAAGCCCTGCTTTTGAGTTTTATGACTCTGGAAAGTGGCTGGATTCTAAAGTAATTAAAGCTGGTAATATGATGAATTTACAATTTGTATTTGTGCTCATATATTTTAACTACTTTTTTCCTTAGATACGATGAAATGAGTATCCTGTTCACAGTTTTGATTACTGAAGCTACTTTGGAGAATGGGTTAATACATCTGAGAAGTAGAGACACCACAATGAAGGAAATGATGCATATATCCAAAGTAAAAGACTTTTTAATCAAGTATATATCATCAGCTAAGAATGTATAGATTTTAATATTTGTGTAATAAATATTCTCCTTTCCTAATTTGATTGTCTTATATTAACAGATTTGTTTTTAGCCCCTTTACTTTTATGACATGGACATTTTTGGTGCTTTTTTAATTCAGTTTTTATTACTTATATTTCTTAATGGATTACATTCTATCAGACATATGTTCAGCTATAAGAAACAAAAATCCCACTATATTGGATTAAGCAAATTGTAGTTTGTTTTTCTCATAACAAGAAGTCTAGGAGGGTAGACTGTCCAGAGCTAGTATAATTGTTTCCTCTATAGTTAGTGACCCAGGCTCTTGATACCTTTCTGTTCTACCATCTTGGGTATGTTGGCTTTTATTTTTATACTTGCTGCTTTGTGGTCACAGGGTGGCTGCTGTATGTCTAGCCTTCTTGTCCACATTCTAGTCAGGAAGAAAGTAAAAGACAAGAGCTAACCAGCCAAAACTCTTCCCTTTTTAACTGGGAAAGTAAAAACTTTCCCAGACATCCCAATCAAAGGACTTGTTTACATTTCATTGGTCAGAACTGGGTCACCTGGGCATCCCTAGGCCAGTCACTGCCCAAGGGAATGAGAATATCATTATTTATTTGGATCAAACGCAACTTCTGCCTTAGGGCTTTGGTGGTGTCTTATCCTCTTTGAAATGGGTTTTATTATCAGGGAAGAAGGAGTCTTTATAGAATCTGCCACATGTGTACTGTCAAATATTGGAGATTAACCTAAAACTAAACTTTAAAAAATTAGAACACTTATTGATTTTTGAAAAGCAAGATAAAATAAATGTTAGATGGTATAATCTAATATTACGGTGTATTTTGTGTCTGGTTCTAATAGGTATATTTAAAAGAAATCTTTGAACTTTTATGTGCTGGTTATGTTTGTGTTAATTATACTATCATTACTCACCTGACAAAAATTCCAAACATAAGAAGAATAGTATAATTAACCCCAAGTGCTATCACCCAGCACTAGTAACCATCAATCTGTGAACATCTTGCCCTATCCACCCAACAACCATCCTTCCATATCAGTTGGAAGCAGATTGCAGCTCTCCCTTCATTTGTGAGTATTTTAGTTAAGTGTCTTTTGTTAACCATTATCACACCTAAAAAAAAATGAACATTACATGGTATTAAGGAATTGTTGACAGTTTTCTTGGATGTGTGATAATGGTATTATGACTTTTTTTAAAAATGTCCTTATTTGAAAGAGACACATACTTAAATATTTTTGAGTGAAATTATATGATATCTGAGACTTGCCTTAAGATTCTCCAATTTAAAAAAGGTGGTGTATTATAGATAAAAAATAATAGTGTCTCTCAGTTGTTGAAGCTGGGTGATGAGAACATGAGGGTTCATTGTATTGCCTTTTTATTTTTGTGCATGTTTGAGAATTTTCATAATAAAAAGTTTTTAAAAACCATTTCTTTAATATCAGATATCTACTCAGTTTTCAGTTGTCTTATAATTTCATAAAATTGATTGTTAGGTCTTTTAGTCTCTCTCTGTTTTTTTTAAGAAATTGGGCTGCCTATTATGGGGTTTGTTACTTTTGGATTTTGCTTATTGCATCCCCATGATGGTTTAACCAGTTCCTGTCTATATATAATTTCCTAAGGATTTGGAAGTTGAATCCAAAGGCTTAATCAGTTTCAAGTTTAATTTTGGGGGACAAGATTTTTCCTAGGTTGTTGTGTTCTATCAGGAGGCAGTACTGTCTGGTAGCTTCTCTTTTGGGGATGCTAACAATCATTGATCAAATGGGTAATATTCTGATTCTCTTTCTTCCTCATTCATTAGCTAGAATATTTCTGTAAAAACATCTCATCTATTAATTGCTTAGAGGTGTGAGAGAGGTAGGATAAATGCAGATTTGTTTCCTTTAGAGTTGTTCTCTTTGATGTTCAAATTGTCCTATCTTTGGCCAGTGGGAGCCTCTTCAAGTTGGCCTGGAGTCATTTTGACACAACTTCTGTAGTCTTTAATAGCTTGTATATTTCAGAGTTTCTGTAAGAAGTCCTGTTTCCTTTTAATGGAAAATGGTGTTTGGAAGCTGTATCTGAGTACTGGGGATACTCATTGTTAGAAGGTGATCTTTGTTTTTAGGCTTTTTCAGTGTTCAGTACTAGCAGATATGTAAGTGTGTGTGTGTGTGTTTCACCCTGAATTTAAAAAGTCATGAATTCATACCAGTACTTTATATTCAAATTCAGCACTGCAGTGTGGCGGGGGGTGGGGCAGGGTTGTTAATCAGCTTTGTTGGGATAAAATTTATATTCAATAAACTTATTTTAAATGTACAAATTACGAATTTTGACAAATGTGTAACCACCACCACAATGACAATATAGAACATTTCCATCACCCCAAAAATGTCCCCTCAAGCTTTTTAGGACTGCAGGGCTTTTACTTAATCTCTTTTATCATACATCTGTATCTCTTCCATTCCAAAATCCCAGTTCTCAAGAATACTGAGGGGCTGGGGCACCTGGGTGGCTCAGTCCATTAAGCTTCTGCCTTTGGCTCAGGTCATGATCTCAGGGTCCGGGGACCAAGCCTTGCATCAGACTCCCTGCTCAGTGGGGAGTCTGCATCTTCCTCTCCCACTTCCCCTGCTCATGCTCTCTCTCGCTCTCTCTCTCTCTCTCTCTCTCTCGTAAATAAAATCTTAAAAAAAAAAAAATACTGAGGGTGATAATTAGAAAGCCATGGCCTACAACTGCTCATTTGCTTGATTTCACCTTAATTGTGGCAATCTCAGAATTACCATACCAATATGACCACCGTATGTCAACTTAAAAGTTTAAATTTCAGGGGCGCCTGGGTGGCTCAGTCAGTTAAGCAGCCCACTCTTGACTTCAGCTCAGGTCATGATCTCAGGGTCATGAGATTTATATATTTATAAATATATAAAATCTTTTCTAAAAAAAGTTTAAATTTCATTTTTATAATTTAATGATAAGAGTGTTCTTTTTAAAAAAAATTTATTTTAGAGAGAGAAAGAGCACAAGAGGCAGAGGGAGAGGGAGAAAGAATCCCAAGCAGACTCAGCACTGAGCACAGAGCCTACTGCTGGCCTCGATCTCACAACCCTGAGATCATGACCTGAGCTGAAGCCAAGAGTTGGAGGCTTAACAGAGTGAGCTACCCAGGCACCCTGCTGTGAGAGTGTTCTTGAAGGCATTTGTTTGCTCTGTTATACCACGTCTTCCTGTAAGGAAGCATGGGAGAAATTTCTCTCAGACAGTTGTGCTTCTCCTGGCCTGTTATTATATGTGTTATATATTTGTTCATTTTGTTCATTCAAAAAAGGCTTTTTTGAGCACCTAAGTCCTGGGGACTGTAGGTACTGGGGATATAGTGGTGAACAAGATAGACCTTTCTGGGGGTAGAGAGGTGGGAACAGATACTAAGCAGGTATGCTCATGGACAATTTCAGGTAATTTCGGATAGTGATAGTGTTGTAGGTAATAGAACAGGATGATGTGCTTGATCATGGGTATAGTTGTGTGCTTTGCCTAGGTGGTCAGGGACGCTCAGAGGATGTGACCTTCAAACTGAGGCTGAATGATACAAAGGAGCCAGGTATGTGAGGATCTGGGGCAGAGCATCCTGGACAGAGGGACTAGGAAGTGCCAAGGCCCTTAGGAGGGAGAAGGTAGTGACCAAGGAGCAGAAAGCAGGCCAGGGGGGCTGAAGGAGGTGAGTGGAGGGGAGATGAGTAGAAGATGAGGTCGGACAGGTGGTCAGGACCCACATCACTTAGAGCCATGGTGGCCACAGCAAGTCTTCCGGAAACCACTGGGGCAGGAGGGGATGGTTTAAGTAGACAAGGGACATACTGTTATTTTGAAAAGATTACTGTGGGAATGGGATGCAGAAGAGTAGGAGGGAAGCAGGGAGACCTGTTAAGGAGCTCTGACAGGTGATGGCGGCCAGGACAAGACAGGGAGCAGTACCCTTCTTAGACCTGGCAAGAGGAGTCCCTGCACTGGGTCCTTTCTCGAGCATCCTGCTCTGGCCCTTCTCCATCTGCCTCCTTCCCCACAGGATGTTTGAGGGGCCAAGAAGGCATGCTTGGAGATCACTGTAGTCCTTAGGTGTCTAATTTTTCTAACCTGTAAATCAGTTACAACCTCTGGTACAGTGTATTGGGGAAGAGTTGAGGGCATAGTCCATGTCCCTCAAAGGTGGAAAGAAGAAAGGAAAAAACATTGAGCTTCAGGCATCACAGAACTGTCGATCATTCCTCTGGTTAGGTCTCCTTTACATCCTTCCTGAGAAGCATCACTGAGAGAAGGCAGTCTCCTCCGGTTGTAATCCACCAGCCCTGGGAGCAGAAGGGGCAGACGGTCCTCCCCGCAAGGCTTTTGTGCTGCCTGGTATTACCCTGCAGGTACCACCTTTTCCCATTTTTCTATTGGATTATTGGTGGGTTGGTTTTTTGTTTTTCAATAGTTTGTAAGAGCTCATTATATATTATGAAACTTCAAATTTTTTCTGAGATGTGGGTTCAAAGTATTTCCCCTATTTATTCTTTCGGCTTAGCTTATGATTTTTAAATGTAATTTTAAAATGAGTCATCTAATTAAATTTAGCAGTTCTTTATATCTTCTGAATTGTGAGTCATACCTAGAAAAGCCTTCCCCTCTTAAAGATTATTTTTAAATTCCTCCTGTTTTCTTCTAGCACTTCTATGGCTTTATTTTTAGGTATTTTAACATTTGACCTATTTGACTTTATTTCGTTGCAGAGAATGAAGTGTAGGGGATCCACCTTTTCTTAAATGTGATTCTAAAGTTTTTACACTATATTGAATGATCCATCTTTTCGCCACTGATTTAAAATGCCATATTTTTCATTCACTGAATTCGCACGTGTGTTTAGATTTATAGCTAGACTTTCGGTCCCGTTCCATTGTTCTACTTGTTCAGCCATATGCCAATACCACACTTTAAACATCATGGTAGCTTTATAATGTTTCCAAACCTTACATATACATCCCTGTCCCTCGCCCCCGCCTTCTGTCATTTATGTTTTCTATATGCTTCTTAAATCCTACACCCTTTATCTGTGTTCACTTTTCTTCCTCAAGTACATCATGTAGTTCTTCAGTGAGAACACAGTTGGAAAAACCTCTTTCTCTGTCTTTGTCCTAAAATGTCTTTATTTCACCCTTAGTCTTGATTGAAATTTTGGCGCATGTAGAAGATATTTTGAGTGGCCCTCTTAAACCTCATCATAACCCTCCTTCCATTTGGTGGGGTCGGAAATCTAAAAGCATTACCATTCTCTTACTGCTGGGGGATGTATGGTGGTGAATATCTTCTAATCAGATGCGTATGCTCGGGATCTAGAAAGAAGGGAGGTGGTGACGGTCGCTGAGAAGCAGGTGTCTGCAGCAGTGGAGCTCCATGTTCCGTGTCGGGCCTGAGGCTGTGGTGGCAGAGGCAGCAGTGGCAGGTAGCTGTCTGGCTCCAGATAGTGAGAAAACCTACAGATAAATTATTAAAGTGGAAGAGAGAGTTTAGTGAGGTTGCTAAGGGATACAGAATCAAACACAATAATATTGTGTTTCTGTATATCAACATGAAACAAAAACACAACTTATCATAGCATCAAAATATCAAGTACCTAGGAATAAATCTAACGAAAGATGTGTAAGATGTTTATGCAGGAAATAATAAAAACACTCTTGAGAGAATCGAAGAAGACATAGACAGTGAGTTATTTGTAGTTCGGAACATTCACTGTTCTAAAAATGTTAATACTCCCCCAGTTGACCTATTAATTCAATGCAATATCAATCAAAATCCCTATCATGTTCAGGGTTGTTTTTTTTTTTCTTTAAGAAAATAACAGGCTGACTTTTTTTTTAAGCTGACTCTCAAATTTAACTGGAAATGCAAAAGGTCAAGAATAGCTAAGACATTCTTAAAAAGGACAAGATAGGAAAATCTGCCTTTCCAGTTATCAGAACTTATTGAAAAGAGTATGGTACTGACCCAGGAGAGATAAGTAGAACAATGAAACTGAATCTAAAGCCCAGAAGGAAGGCCACATGTATATGGACATTTGATTTGTGACAAAGATGATACAGCAGTTTAGTGGGGAAAGGACAGCTTTTCAGTGGACAGTGCCAACATTGGTGATGCTCATGCGTGGGAGCAGGGAGAAATAGGGTGCTCCTTTCATACCACACACACAAACGGTTCTGCGTGGTTGTAAACCGAAATATGAAAGTAAACGAGAAAAACCTCTAGTAGGTAGTAATATAGAATAATTCTTGCATGCCCTCAAGTTGAGGAAATGCTTCGTCACCTGGACACACATACACAAAAAACACTAATCGTCAAGGAAAAGGTAGACAAATTAAGTTCTTAAAATTAAAACTTCTTTTCATCAAAAGGCAACACTGAGAGAGTGAAAAATTAAGCGTCAGAGTAGGAGAACAACTATTAAAAAATAAGAAAAAGTTAAAACACCTCCTAGAAAAACAGGCAAAGAGCCTCAAACAGGTATTTCATTAAAAAAGGAATCCAAATGATCTCTAAATATAGGAAAATGTGTTTGTTCAACCTTATTAATCTCAGGGAAATGCAAATTAAAATCACAATGAGATATCACTATATGCCCACAAGAATGGTTAAATTAAAATGACAGTGCCAGTGTTGGTAAAAATGTAGGGGGGTGAAAACTCACATACTGCTCAAGGGAATGAAGAGGTGATAGGACCACTTGGGAGAATATTATGGCATCGTCTACTTAGGCTGGGGATAAGACCCATGACCCAGACATTGTATTCCGACACATATTCAGCACAGTTGCATGCAGTTGGGAAGCAGCAGACATGTTCCTAGCTTAAGAGTGGTCACAGCTGCATAATCGCAATAGCCCCACGCTGACAAAAGCCCAAATGTGTGTCAGCTGTAGAATAGATAAATTACAGTAGATTCAAACAATGGAATACCATTTAGTAATGGAAGATGTAATTACAACTACATGCAGCAACACGGATAAATCTCACAAATATAATGTGTTTTTTTTTAAGTTTTTTTTTAAAGATTTTATTTATTTATTCATAAGAGACAGAGAGAGAGAGGCAGAGGGAGAAGCAGGCTCCCCGCTGAGCAGGGAGCCCGATGCGGGACTCGATCCCAGGACTCTGGGATCATGAGCTGAGCCGAAGGCAGATGCTTAATGACTGAGCCACCCAGGCGCCCTCACAAATATAGTGTTGAGCAAAAGAAGCCTGACACAAGAATAAATGCTATATGATTCCATTTATATGAAATTCAAAAACAGGCAAAACTAAAGACAGTATTCAGGAATGCATACTTGGTGGTAAAACTATAAAGAAAAGCAAAGAATCGATCCCCTTAAATGAGTAGTGAAGGGCGGGGCGGTGGGTTTGTGAGTGGGAAGAGGCATGCAGAGGGCGTCTGGGCCATGGGCAGTGTTCACTCCGTATAACTTACCAAATTGTCCATATCCATTTTAATGCATTTTCTTATAATGTGTGCTCTATTTCACAACAACAAAAAATGTAAAGACCCTGGATTTGAAAAAGACCCAAAGTGAAGCTGAAATAGACATGACAAAAATGTAGCTATTGAAAGGAAAACTCAGTAGACCTTTTCCCTTTCCTTTTTCTCTTCTCTTCCTGAACAATTCAGTCCAAAAGCCTGAACATCTGTGCGGGGGCGGGGGGGGATCAGGTAGAGTGGGAAGCCACAGGAAGTCGCAGCTGGGTGAGGACGGAGTCATGAGGACTACACAAGCCTAAGTACACAAAGCACTTCACAGCACCTGCACCCTGGTACGTGCTGCACACGTGGCAGCTATTGTTGTCACAGAGGAATTCTTGGGAGATGGCGTACCCGCCACCTCTGTATCTTGCGTCACATCCCCTGGGCCTCACCTCCGATTCCAACTGCTCCTGAGACTTCATTCACTTTGTGTCGATAGCATCTTGCTTCAAGTGTACAACACATACCCCCATTTTCTGCCCCGATGCTTTGCAGCTCCCTGGGTGAGATGCCAGCTTGGAATGTCCACATGCACAGCCTAGAAGTGGGGGAGGCATCACCTCCTGGGACAACCCTCAGCCAATCAGGGATGAAAGCCAATGGATAGGTCCTCAAGCAGACAGTTCTGAGAGAGTTTCTCGTTGCTCTGAAGGTTCCAGTGGAATCAATCCCCAGTTGTCCATAGAAGTGCCCAGCTCAACAGTACTCCCTGGTACTGGCTTTTCCTCCAGTCCCTTATGCTTGTTCCCCTGGGTCACCTCCCAGATAAATTAGTTGCACCGAATCCTTATCTCAGGCTCTGCTTTCAGGGCCAGTCCAGGATAAGACAGGTTATCAGAAGACCCTAGAAAGCAGCCCTAGGAAATGGATTTACACCTTGGATGGATAGCAACAGGCGATGTTGTAAGGGGGTGGTAAGGAGGGTGGTGATAACCTTTACATGCCATAGCTTCACAATTACTTTACAATTATTAAGACCTTCCTCTGCAGTGGGGAAGGAGGCAGAGGTAGAAAGTGAAGCACTAGGCTATGCAATGGTTTTAGCACTTGAAAAGCACAGGGCAATGGTAATTATATGGATTGTGGAGTTGGTTGGCTTCTACTAACTGCTTTAAAAGCTTTGCAAGGAGAAAATGAGAGACTATTGATTCAGGGCATGCTGTGAAACCCAGAGGCATTCTGGGCTTCAAAACTTCAGAAGGTCTTAACTGGATCAAATCCAATTACCATTATGGTCTGGAGCTTGCCAGCCCCTCCCCACCCCAGTGTTGACTTTTCCTCCCTGTTTTACTGCCCTGCTTCCTCACTCCTGCTGCCTGAGGTCACGTGCCATATAGGCTACCTGCATTCAAGTCCTTGTCTCAGGCTCTGCTTCCGGAGGGACCTCAAGACAGAAGAAGCAGCCAATGGTAACCAAGTTACGAAGTTTAAGACCTCAAAGACTTAAAGATTTCTAAGGGGAGCAGCCAATTAGTAGGACGCAGAGTAAGCACCATACCTCAAATAGCCTTTTTTTTTTAATTATATGCCTGGCCCTGTTCCAAGCCCTTTACATTCATTACCTGAGTTAATTATCACAGCCCCTCCATATGCTGGTGTTATTTGCCCCCTCCCTTTCTCCGTCCCCCCAAGTGAATGACACTGAAGCCCATAACTTATCCACAGTTAAGACACAACTGAGCCTGAATTATGTTCAGTCTGTCTGACTCTGGAACCCTTATTTTCTTAGCCTCTATGACACACTGATTTTCCCCCAAATAAAAATGTCAACAGAGAAAGGGCAGAAATGCTCATGAATGCTGCTTTATGGCAACAAAATCCTCAAACTAATCTGGACCTATGTGCACAGTATCCCTTCCCACCCTGGAGAGGCATTCCCATGGCCAGTGCTTCTGCTGATCTTTGCTAGGATTTAACTCCCGGTTCAACCACTACTAATCTGTGAGTGATCTTGTGAAATCACTTACCCCATCTGAGTCTAAAAGTTTCCTTACCTGTAAAAGCAAAATAATAATATTGCCCTGTAGGATGCTAGACAGTGTCTAATAACTGGTAGCTATGATTTTTCTAGTCAGAGGTCCACTGTTGGGAACTATTAAGACTGAGTTTCAAGCAACCCCCAGAAGAAGAGCAGAGCAGAAAAATTTGGGCCAAGTTGTTTTGTTCATCTAGAACCTAACAAATGCCTCTTGGCTTTTACTGGACTTGACTAATAACGCCTAGGATGAGAGATTTAAACCAGATATCATTTTGACCCACCCCTGTAGTGGTCTGAATGGTGGCTCCCCAAAAAAGATAAGTCCATGTCCTAACTCCTGCAACCTGTGAACGTCACCTTATTTGAAAAAAAGGTCTTCAGAGGGGTGCCTGGGTGGCTCAGTTGGTTAAGTGGCCAACTCTTGATTTCGGCTCAGGTCATGATCTCAGGGTCCTGGAATTGAGCCCAGTGTCAGGCTCTGCACTCGTGGGGAGTCTGCTTGAGGATTCTCTCCCTCTGCCCCTCCCCCAGCTCTGTCTCTCTCATAAATAGATCTTAAAAAGAAAAGAGAAAGAAAAAGGGGGCGCCTGGGTGGCTCAGTAGGTTGGGCATCTGACTCTTGGTTTCAGCTCAGGTCATGATCTTGGGGTCCTGGGATCAAGCCCTGTGTTGGGCTTGCATGCTCTTCTTGTCCCTCTCCCTCCCCCTCTGCTTCTCCCTGCTCTATCTCTCAAATAAATAAAATCTTAAACAAAAACAAAAAAGTGTCTTTGTAGACATAATTAAGGATCTTGAGATGAGGTCATCCTAGGGGTCCTAAATCCAATGACCAGTATTCTTATAAAAGAAAGGCACAGGAAAAGAAGTCCATATGAAGACAGAGGCAGAGATTGGAGAGATGTTGCCACAAGCTCAGGAACACCAGGAAGCATAGGAAACTGAAAGGGACAAGCAAGGATTCTCCCCTAGAGTCTTTGGAGGGAGCACAGCCGTGCTGATATCTTGATTTGAGATTTCTGGCCTCCAGAACTCTGAGAAAATAAATCTCTGTTGTCTTAAGCCACCAGTTTGTGGTGATTTGTGAAGACAGTCAAAGTAATCCATTCTCCTGTCTCCCACAGAACACTATCCTCTCTACAGAACGCCAATGGGAAATGCAGCACATAAAGGCATGCCTTTGCCATTAGCTAAGTTTTGAGGCCTGAGAACGTCCACGAAAATCAATATAAATATTTTTGCGGGCTTCCAAAATCTGAGAGCAAATTGAATAGCAATGGATAATAAATGTGTCCTTGGTGAATAATCTCATTTTCCTCTCGTAACTACGGGGACTCTTCTCTTCAGACACGTTTTCAAGGTCACCAGTTTTTGTTTTAGAATTTAGACATGGTTTTTTTCTTCTGAACCTTCGGTGGGCATGGTGGTGGGGACCCTGGAAAGGTGATCGCTATTCTGCCTCCGGGATGCACTTAATGAAGAGCACAGTGGTCTGGCGATTTCTCTTTTTTCAGTGATGTGGCAATGGGGAGAATGGTCCATGCCTAAAAATGGCAGAAGCATTTAAAAACTGTCACCAGTCAGGATCCCACCTGACAAAACTGTTGCCTGATGACAGAATTGGGTGTACACAGGCCAAAGGAATGGTGTTTAATCATGAAAAATAGTAATTCACTTTAGGTCACCAGTGAGATATTTTTGAGTATCGATCACATTTGCCTTTTCTTCATTGTAAATCAACTTTATAAAAAGGATCTTACTCTGAGATGTAGCTTGTATCTTTTTTAAATTTCAGAAGATGAGTTCTGAATAGATATATCCAGTTTTACAATCACTACAGGCTTCTGAAATATAAGAGAGAAAATAATTCAGTAAAATTAGGATATATATCCATAGAGACTCTAAAACGAACCCCCCCCTCCAAAAAACCTCATTTTAGTAGCTGGGTGGTCTGAAAGAACCATGTGTTAACTGTTTTTTTTCCTAGACTATATAAGAATAATTATGAAACTCTCAGTGTCACATCCTTCCCTCTCCAACCCCGCCCTCCCGTCTCCTAATGAGATTTGTTAGGTTGTTACTGGCTTCCTGGGGTGTGCATGTTGCCTCCATCTACCCCATCCTTGGGCTTCTAAAGCCCTGGTGGCCTTATGTCTCATGTTGATAGGATCCTCTTATCCCAAACTGTGGCTCACCATGAACTCTTGGTGCCACCTCCTGGAACACAGGGGTAGCATAGTGTATCTCCTGGGAGCATCCAGTTCCTGGGCAAAAGACAAGGAACAGTTATTGGGCCTACAATCCGAATCTCTGATCACGTGAGGGCAGTGGTTTAGCCAGCCACCCTTGACATGGTGTGCAGCCTCTGGACTTTGCAGAGAACACTTACCATCTTGGGCTGTGGGAACACACTGCCTTGGTTCCAAGCCTTGCACGGATTCCCTACCTGTAACATGGGAATAACATAAATTGGGAGTTAGTGGTGTTTGTGTAGGACAGGGTAGGTAAATTGCTTAGCACCGTGCCGGCAACAGGGTCAGGGTTAGTGTGGGCTGGTTTTGTTCTCATTGTTACCAAGGCCCTGAGTCTATTTACCATAAAGCAGCATATGATGCCTGCCTTAAGAGGGGATCATAAGAGGCTCTGGAACACAGTGTGGATCGTTCCAAACTGACATTAAAACATCTCCAAGATATGTTGTTAAATGAAAAAAATCAAGGTGTAGAATGGCATATCTATGACCTGCTACCCTTTGTGTAGATGCTAGCATCCACGTAGAAGATCTATGTGAGGATTTTAAAAATTGGTTGTTGCCCCTGTAAAGTAGGACTGGATGTCAGGGGTGGGAAGAAGACATTGTATTCTAATTCCTTTTATTTTTTTTATTTTTATTTTTATTTTTTACCCCTGGGTCTGTACAACCTTAAAAAAAAATAAAAAAGACAACAGTCTGAATCCAACCAACCACACCAATCAAAATACCCCAAAAAATTCTCTTACCTGCTTGATTTTCACAGATATTTGCATATATTCTTACTTCCCTGGCCGTATTTCCATAGTCTCCGGGTGCTTTATCTCTTATAGCTTTTACTACATAAAGTGAACCATTTATGTAGAATCATTAAATTAAACCAGTTCAGCCACATTTTCTCATTTCCTCTGCCAAGGAGCAGAATCCCCCAAAGTTCCGAAACAAAGAATAATCTGCTCCTATGGCCTAAACTGTTGTCTATTGAAGGAAAACCATGGACTCAGCAAGGAATCCATAGCACCCTCTTCTCCAAGCCAGAAGCCCTTCTGATTTATTTTTCTGGGTCTGCGAGAGACATCCTTTACTTATGCCAGAGACACATCACGTTTTCTTTCCTTCACTGAAAAGAACAGTCTGTAAAAAGCTTTGTAATATCTACAAGAGACAGTAAATTACCCAGCTGAGTTCTTTTTAGTCCTGGCCAGTAACCAAGAACACTAATTCTACTTTTGCAAGACTTTTTGTAGGAAGGGAAGACAGGTTTTAAAAAATGTATAAGATGTATACTTTTTTTTTTTAAGATTTTATTTATTTATTTGACAGCACAAGCAGGGGGAGCAGCAGAGGGAGAGGACGAAGCAGGCTCCCTGCCAAACAGGGAGCCCAATGCGGGGCTCGATCCTAGGACCCTGAGATCATGACCCGAGCCGAAGGCAGACATAACCAACTGAGCCGCCCAGGCGCCCAGACGTATACATTTTGACATCTATTTTCAAGTCTTGTGTCAACTAAGTTTCTGACTTGTCTGAATGATAACTCTCTAGAGGAGGCATAGGAGGTTAACAAGTATCTTGGTTCTCTCTATCTTAACAAGAACTTGGTTCTCTCCCTAGCTATGACAGTATCTCCCCGTTGTACAGGTCAGAACACTGAAGCTCAGGCAAGTGAAGGAGGCTGCCCGATGCCCCTCAGCTCACTGCTGGGATGCTGATGCTGAGACATGCTGTTCTTTGTGCATATCTTGATATTCCTCCATACTTGCATGCCAAGTGAAAAGGCCATTTTGAAATCATAAGTAGAGGTGGTCATAAGAGGTGAATAATGAAAAGCAGTGACTGGGGCTTGATGCAGCACTGAGGGTAGGCAGAGGACAGTGATGCTTTTGTTGGTCTTCTTTGAGCTTCCTCTGAGTGGCAGAGCTAGGCAGCATGCTGACAGATACAAGGCAAAGCTCTTGCCTTTGCGGAGCTGCCAGTCAGAACCCACCAGCTTGTTTGCAGGGCCCGGTGCACAGCGAAAATGCAGGGCCTCTTGTTAAAAAAGTATGAAGATCTGTGCACCTATGTTCGTGGCAACAGTATTCACAGTAGCCAAAAGGTGGAAGCCACCCAAGGGCCCATTGATGGATGAGTGGATCAACTTAGTGTATATATGCATATGTATCTATGGATCTGTCTGTAATGAAGATTCTTCAGCTTTAGAAATGGAGGAGATTCTGACACATGCACAACATGGATGAATCTCGAGGACTTCTGCTGAGTGAGATGAGCTAGTCACAGAAGGAGAGATACCATAGGAGTCCGTCATCTGAGGTCCCCAGAGTAGCCAAATTCATAGAGACAGAAGAGAGAGTAGTGGTTGCCAGGGGTTGGGGGAGGGGGACTGAATGGGGAGGGCATAATGGGGACAGAGTTTCAGTTTTGCAGGATGAGAAAAGTTCCATGCGTGGACAGCGGTGATAATTGCACGGCAGTAACAATGCACCTTATGCCATTGAACCGTATACTTAACAATGGTTAAGATGGCAAATTGTATTGGTCTGTATATTTCACAAATTAAAAAATAATTTTAAAAAGAGTTAAAAAGAAAAAGTATTCAGAATTTCAAGACAGTGACAGCAGAGCACGAAACCCAGTGTGGGGCTCTTCTCAGTGCAGGGGCTCCGGGTGACCGCACAGGTCACGGACCTCCAAGCCATCGAAACAAGAAGGGCTTTTGCCAGAGAAACGAGAACCAGCTTAGGTGTGAGCTGTGCGGGAAGCCGGCTTCATTTACCTTCCCCTTTTGCCTCTTTCCCTTCTCTTTGTTCCCCTCGTATCCCATTTTATATTTCCCTTTCCCTTCCTCTTCACCTTCTCTTCTGCTTTCTGTACCCAACACCCATAGCAAACAATGCAAAAGCTGCTGAAGAACTTACTTGTTTTGTACTTTGGTAGTATCCAAAATGCCAGAATCAAGATTATTACAATTAGCACCAGCAATAACCCTGGAAGCAGTAGCTGCAGGCAGAAAGGACAGCCGTCTCCACCTGGAAGAAGACAGCATTCACTGGTCACCACACAGCTTTCTTTTCCAATGGTATTGAACTGTGGAATGTTCTGGAAAGGGCAGTCACCACCGTCTCCCAGGCTAACTAATGTACTGTGCACCCCAGTCTCCAGACTGCTCTGGACACCTGCCACTCTTGAGAATTAACTTGTTAGTGAAGTTCTGGAAGTCACAACCAAGTGCATCTTCCACATGGGCTCATACAAAGAAGAGAAAAACAGCACAGCATTTAACAGATGGATTCCTGGCAGCGTTGTTAGGATCATAAGGCTCAGAAAAGCCTGGTCATTTATTGGGCAAAGCCCTTAGTCATTTGGTATGATTTATGTCACTTAAACAGCTACCATTCATTATTAACTACACCCCAGACACTGTTAAGCGCTTTACATGCATTGCCGTATTTATCTCATTGCTATCATTCCCATTTTACAGATGACTAAAGTAAGGCTCAGAGGGGTTAAATGACTTTCCTACAGTCACACAGCTAGTAAATGGGAGGGCTGTGACTGTAGGCAAAGCTTGACTCTGGGGCCTGAGTCCTACAGGCTGCCTCATTTGTTAGAACTTACTGAACACCAGGGCGTGGGCTCTGTTCTGAGGATGAGGCTGGGTGAAGTGTTCAATACCTAAGCATGCCTACTGCCTTAGCTAACCTTTTTTGTTCTATCCTTCTCCTACCTCAATGAGTGTCCCTTTGTAAGGTCCTGGAAAGCCAGATTTGAATCTAGAATTCTCAAACTCCTCAGCGTTCTGCACTAGAACCTGGCAGCATGCAGAGAGCCAGCCCCAGCCTGGCCCACCTTTCCACTCAGGCTCTGACCTGCACCCTAAGGGGTCTCGTGTGCACATGGACCCTCCAGCTTGCATGTACAGATGTTGTCCATGCTCCCCACAAACAGCCCCCTTAACTCAGGGCCAGCGATGCTCACTTCCTTTCTGTGGGACAGCCTTGGGAGGATGAGCTGGGAATGAGACTTGTGTAGGCCCTGGAAGGTGGGTCCCGATCTGATTGGGTAGGGAATTCAGGTCCAGGTACCTAGAATATGGTTCAGGAAAGTGGGGATACAGGGTCCAGGTGGGTATATTCTCCTGTTTCCCCCTGAGCTCCTCAGCCGAGGGGAAGATGCATGGCGGAGAAAGCACCAGAACAGTGCCCTCCCAAACACAGCGCTGGGACAGGAGCTCTTCTCACCCCAAGGAGGGTCCTGGAGGTCTCCACTCACCAACCCCTGGCAGTGGGCAGTAAACAGCCAAGCAGGCGGGCACAGGTGTTAGAAATCAATGGAAAAGCAAAAGAGAATCAAAACCCGGCAGCTCCAAGAGATGCAAAATCTGATGTGATTGCTTAGAACCTGGGCCGTGGAAGATCAAGGCAGGAAGCAGGGTCAAGTTAGGAAGTCTTCCTACAGGATTGTAGGGATGTAAGTCTCCCTACAGGATTCCTGACCTAGCTTCTAGGCTCATCTTCTTCCTTTTAGTGGCAGAAAGAAACCCCATCGGGGTTTGTGTGGAACCTCCCAAAGGAAAGGCATTTGGATGCAGATGGCCAGCATGGGAAGTGGGTGGGCAGAGAAGCTACAGTTTCTGGAAGCAAATGCAGACCCTGTGGAAAGAGCTCAGGTAGCCCTTACCTGGTGGGGGATTGATGGAGACTGGCTGACTGTATCTTTCATGGTCAGGCAACCTGTTTTCACTTTTGCACCTGTACTCTTCCCTTTCTCCAGTGTTGTTCTTGCTTACGTTGAATTCAGCAGGCTCCCTTACATGCTTGAAATTAGGTGGTGATATGGCAATATCTTTCTCAAAGAAAGTATAAGTGATGGGCAGAGAGCCATTGAGCTACAAACGTAGTATTATATGTCGGTCTGTTTCTATGTTAATGACATGAATGTTCAACACTGGTGTGATCACTGGGTCTAGAAAAATGGAAGTGTGTGTTAAATGATAAGGTTGGATTCACTCAGTCCACAAACGTGGATTGAACCCCTACTCTGCTCCCGACCGTGGACCAGAAGATGAATGACCCCCTTCTTGAGACGTCAGGCAGCTGGCTGCCCAGTGAGAAAGACCAACGGTAAGTGGTTAGCTGCACTCAGTGCAGCACAAGCCAGGTGCTGAGAACGCCGGAGGGTGGAAGGCGTCTCTCTGCTTTGAGGAATCACAGCACAAACTTGCCTTTCATCAGAAGTCTCAGTCTGTTCATTGTTGAGGATGAGTATAATTTTGTCAAAGATCTAGTTTCAAGTATGAAGTTGAGAGGTACTTTTATTCCTAATCTTTATAAGGCTACGGGGGGGGGGTTTCTTTTTTAATCAAAGAAATCTAAAAATATCTTTTCTAACTTTTTATTTATAGAATTCAGCTGTACAGTTATCTTCTACTTCCTCCCACAAGCAGGAAGTAACCCTGGTAAATAGATTCAAAGGAACTTTTCAACAGGAAGTATGTGGGTCTGCTAGATTCTGTCAGGTCATACCCTATTTTGTGGGAGAATCCAGCTATATTATTGATTTTATAATTCATTAATAGGGGCACCCAGATGGCTCATGTAGTTAAGCGTCTGCCTTTGGCTCAGGTCATGATCCCAGGGTCCTGGGATCGAGCCCCTTGTGGGCTCCCTGCTCAGTGGAGAGTCTGCTTCTCACTTTCTCCTCCCTCTGCCTCTCACCCTGCTTGTGCACGCACTCTCTCTTTCTCAAATAAATAAATAAAATCTTAAAAGGGGGGGGTGATGCCTGGGTCAGTTAAGTGTCTGCCTTTGGCTCAGGTCATGATCCCAGGGTCCTGGGATCAAGCCCCTTGTGGGCTCCCTGCTCAATGGGGAGACTGCTTCTCCCTCTCCCTCTGCTCCCCTCCCCCCGCTCATGCTCTCCCTCTTGCTCACTCTCAAATAAAAAAAGAACTAATTCATTAATAAAGCAGAATAATAGGAAAGGAAGGAAAATTGTTGAGTATCCATCATTGTCAGGCTTGCTATTCACATTACCTCATTTCACTTCACAATAGTACTACAAGGAAGATAGTTTCATGCCCATTCCACAGATGAACAAGCTGTGATTCAGAGAGGTTAAGAAACTTGCCCAGGGTCACTTAGCTAGTAAACAGCAGATCCAGTTGGCTTGGGCTAACGCCCCAGCAGATTTTTTCTTTAAACAATATCAGTTTGGCACAGAAACAGTGAAATACAGGGACCAAAGTATAAGTAAAATCAAAGAAAATAATTTAGAGTCTCCTTACTCCACCCCTCCCCTGAGCAGGAATCCCTGGGGAAGCATCCTTGACAGAGCAGTACCTGGTAACAGTGGCCTCCAAGAACAACTTTGGGAATAGTAATGGTGGCATTGGAAAGCAACTTGGGTAACAGCACCAACAGGACATTCTTCCTATGGAACTGAAGTCTATATCCTGTAATTTTCAGGAAGGGGCCGTTGAAACATTCATGAGGAAGCAGAGAGCACAGACTCCTCTCTGAGATGGGATGATCCAAACTAGACCAAGGATTGATATCTCAAGTGATTGGAAAAATGTATACTCCCCTGAGAGTTTGTAAAAAGACTGGCAAAGCACATCACAGCATCATGGTGATCAGAGTAAGGGAATAGCTACTCTTCACTAAACCAGATATTTTTTTACAAATTTCAGGGAGCCCTTTTAAGACTCATTCAACTGCCACCTTTCCCATAAGACCTTTCCTAAATCCTCCAGGCTGATGTGCTTCCTCTTCTGCCTCCCATCATGATCCACTTGGATTTCTCATGGTCCCCCTCATATGGAACCTGTTTGAAACTGAACTCTAGCTAATCTGCTAATTATTGAATAATCAGTAGGTAGATAAACATATACTAAAACCCTATTATTTAAGAAATGTTTTTATTTATATATTCATTCATCCATCCATCCATTAATTCACTTATTTTATCATGGTAAGAAGAGTTAACATGAAATTTAACTTAAAATTTTTAAGTGCTCAATACAGTATTATTAACTGTAAGCACAATGTTGTACAGCAAGATCTGGAGAACTTATATATCTTGCATACCCACAACTTTATACCTATTAACAACTTTCCATTTTCCCCAACTCCCCATCCCTCCAGTTTTCCCCATCTCAATAAAGGCACCACTCCTCATCAGCTGATTACATTAGAAACCTGGAAGTCATTCTTGATTCCTTCCTCACCTTCATGACCTGTGAATCCAAATCTAATCATTAACAAGTCCTGCTGTTTCTTCCTCCAAAATATATCTTGAATCTACCCACTCTGTCCATCCTCACCATTGTCTCCTAGATGACTGCAAGAGCCTCCCAACCAATCCCCAACTTCTACTCTTGCCCCACCTCACCTAGAGTGGAATAACTTGGCAGATGATAGTTGGGTCACAGGCCCAGCCTGCCTCCAGTCTCGCCTGGGGCCACAGTCCCCTCATCTGACCTTCAGCCATACCAGCCTCCTATTAGGTCCTTCCCAGCCAGCCAAGTTCTTTCCCAAGTTGGAGCCCCTGCACAGGCTATTGTCCCTTGACTAGAGCCCTCTTTCCCTGTCTCCTCACCTAGCTAATGCCTTCTCATTCTTCAGGGCTCTACTTAAATGTCATCCCCTTTGAAAAGCTTTACCTAACTACCCTATCTAAGTAGAATGCTCCACCATCCCCTGCTTCTCTCCATCACTGTGCCAGTTTGTTTTTCCTTCCTAACAATCAACAAAGTTTGTGATCATGAATTTGGGTACTTGGGTTTTGTATCTCCCCAACTAAGACTGTAAGCTCCACTAGAGCAGAAATGAATGTATAGCCAGGGCTTGGGACATTTGGGATATCAGTAATATTTGATGAGTGAATCAGTGATCATTATTCATGGCTCATATCCCTACTAGGCTGGGGACAAGAACATGTCTTAGGCATCACTGAAACTCCAGCAACGCCCAACATAATTACTTGCACAGGGTAAGCACTCAATAGATACCTATTAATCTGATCTAAATGAAGAGGAAACAGTTTTATAACCTATCAAAACAGTTCTACAGGACAGTGTAATTACTGTAACAAATTGCAGGAAACGTGTACATTTACCTGGAAGGCAGGATGTGGGAAGATTTTCTACATATCTGTGGGACAGAAGCTCAGCAAATGAGTACTTGGGGTTTTTTAATCAGCTAATTTAAGGCTTCAGCCATTGAGTTCATAAACCATTTAAAATCGGGCTTATTCCTTGCAGGAGTGTATGCCCCTGTTATTCAAATGGAGGAGACCCACACCAGTGGTGGCTCTTGCATCCTTTCTCACACTGAACCTTGGTGATTTGAAGGACATTTGGATGCTTTCCCTGCCAATAAGTGCCTACTCTCCTCACCCCATTCTGCCCACAGTAGACTGAGACTCTCACCCAGAGTTAAAGCCAATGTTAGGATTATACTGCCTATCTTCTCAATTCATATTTTAATGATTGAGGACTGGAGATATATCAAAGGTGTAGCCAAAGGGAATATCTAAAGTTGCACAGGAAGCTTGTGGTACACAGGTCCCCCAGTGCTCATCCCATTGCTCTTTCTGCGATACCAGGCTGCCCAGTCCAGTCTGGTGGCCTATAATGACCACTAGAGAATATTTTCAGCTGGGGGATAGTTGGACGCTTAACTGAGTGAGCCACCCAGGGGCCCTGACTATCATTGATTGTTTTGGGTTTTTTTGTTTTTTTTTTAAGATTTTATTTATTAGAGAGAGAGAACACGAGCAAGGGGGAAGAGGGAGAAGCAGGCTCCCTGCGGAGCAGGGAGCCTGACATGAGGCTTGATCCCAGGACCCTGGGATCAAGACCTGAGCCAAAGGCAGATGCTTAACTGACTGAGCCACCCAGGTACCCCTATCACTGATTGTTAAGATGGTTATAACCTAAAAAGCTAAGAACCATTGAGCTAGAGCAGTGGTGCCCAATGGAACTTTCTGTAATGATGGCAGTGTTCTTTGTCTGCATTGTCTAATACAGCAGGCACTGGTCGGCTGTGGCTATTGAATACTTAAAACATGACTAATAAGACTAAGGAACTGAGCTTTTTATTTCATTTAATTTTAATTAATTTGGATTTAAATGTAAATAACCGCATGTGGCTCGTGGCTACTATGCTAGAGAGCACAGACCTAGGGTCACTCAAAGATTTGGTCAGTAAGTCAGAGCTCCTATGTTTAGAAGCCTCCAGGTACAATGCACACACATTAGCCGGGAAACCCTATCTCCACCTCCTAGGAGTCCACTATCAAGGTCATGAGACCATTAATGCTAGGTTGTGAGAGGCTTGGGGTGGGAAGATGGGAGAGAAAAATACAGTAATAATAAGATGTGTTTGGGCAAGGAGAGCGCTGGCTGATGGAGCACCTGGTGGTAGTCACTGCAAAGGGGAGAAGGTGGGAAAGGCCTGGGGCTTTGAAGACCCTTGCCGCGGTATCCACTACTGATTCTAAGACTTCTCGAGTCTTCAGAGAAAAAGTAATTTTTGCCTACATGATGGGGATCCTAGAGTAAAGGATCTAGAAAAGATCTCAACAATTTCCCAAATTGTTCATGTAAGATTTTTGTCTAAGGCAATCAGGCTACTATTATCTGAAGTAGGCAGAAGTCTTTGGAAGACGTATTCGGGACTGCCAAGTTGTCGTTCCCCAAGTGCCAGCCATTGAATTTGGCCCCTCTACCCGCTCCCCTGCACCCAGCTGAATACGACTTATCTCTGGAAGCTGGGAAGGCACAAGCTGAGCGGTTGGTCATATGAGCTCACCCTCTTAAATGGGAGTACTTGCTTCAGTCAACAATCCCAGCCACAGAAGGCTCCACGAAGATCCTGACCTGATTCGTTCGACCTCTGCAAGATCAGCAAATATCTATCCCAATTTCAAACCCACTCCCAGGACCTCACTCGTAGGAGCTCTGTTTGAAATTGGGTCCCTCTTCTGGTATTATGTTTTAAAAACTGACAGAGATAGGAAAAAACAAAAACAAAAAACTTATCCAGGAAGGAAAATTGGATTGGACATTTAATGTTTCATATTAAGTCTGGCAACGATGACTCTATGTATTATTGTTTAAACAAATCTTCTATTAATCATTTTTAAAAAGTCTTTAGAAGAGAAAGTAAAATGGAATTAATAAGAACAAAGACCTCAGTGACATACTTTCCAGACTCTTGAGTATTTGTAGGGGAGCAAAGAGCCCACTGTAGAACAGGAAGGAATCCCACAAATCACAGGGCGCCCCCAGGAATGAGTGCCCTACTTACCCACAAATGTGAAGTTGAACTCCTGACTGTATTTGACCAATGAACAGTTAGAAACTTGGGCTTTGCATTTGTAGGGGCCCAGCTCATGGGCTTCTGAGATGCTTAGGTTAAAAATCATGGGTTCACCTTTTCCATCATGGGTTCTCAGGTGTTTCTCACGCCGAAACAAAAAATAGGTGATCTGTAGTGATTTGTTCTGGTTGGAACAAATTAGCGATACATTTTGACCCCTCATGACCGCTTTTGCTTCTGAGTCCAAACTTGGAGAAAGGAGTTCTGGAAAAGAGAGTAACACGAGAAAACGTCTTTGTGAATGTGCCTTAATAACTAAATGGTAACCTGACCACATTTTGTGGGTCAAGGTGGTAGGGACACTGGTTCCTGGAGAACTTTCTTGCTGCACAGCCAGGCTGACCAGTGTGTGAGGAAGCCTCAGCACCTACAGAAGCTCCTTCCAGTGATGCATGGGGGGCCTTGACAAGCTCTCTCATGCTTGCCACCTCTTTTGCCACTGAGAGCTTGAAGTGGACACTGGTTTTTTTTTCTCTTTTTTAAAATGTAAATTCCAGTTAATTGACATACAATATTAGTTTCAGATGTACAATTTAGTGAAGTGACCTCTTAAAACTGGCTATGCTGACTTAGAAATATTAATTGATGCTTTGTATCTCTAAAAGATAAAGACTTTTTTGGTAAACACAACAGTACCATTATCACACCTAAAAATTAATAATGTTTTTAAAATGTCATCAAACGGGGCGCCTGGGTGGCTCAGTCGGTTGAGCATCTGCCTTCGGCTCAGGTCATGATCCTGGGGTCCTGGGATGGAGCCCCACATCGGGCTCCCAGCTCTCTGGGGAGTCTGCTTCTCCCTCTCCCTCTGCTACTCCTTCCTCCCCCACTTGTGCTCTCTCTCTCTCTCTCTCTCAAACAAATAAATAAAATCTTTAAAAATAAAATAAAATGTCATCAACATCTAATTAGTGTTCAAATTTCCCTAATTGTCTGTTGTTGTTGTTTTTGGATCCAAAATGGCCCACTGTAATTAGTTGATATGTTTCTTTCTTTTTTTTTTTTATTTTTTTTTTAGTGTTTGGTTTTTTTTAGAGTTTTTTTTATAAGGTTTTATTTATTTATTCATGAGAGACAGAGAGAGAGAGAGAGAGAGAGGCAGAGGGAGAAGCAGGCTTCCCGCGGAGCAGAGAGCCCGATGCGGGGCTCGATCCCAGGACCCTGGGATCATGACCTGAGCTGAAGGCAGACGCTTAACCATCTGAGCCACCCAGGCGCCCCTAGTTGATATGTTTCTTATGCCTTTTTTAATCTATAGACACTTCCATCTTTTTTTTCCCCTCCCCCTACAGGTTATTTGTTGAAGATAGCAAGCTGTTTATTCTATAGTGTTTTCCATGGTCTCAGTTTTGTTGATCACATTCCCATGGTATCTTTTACCATGTTCCTCTGTCCCCTGCCCAGAGGCTTAATGAAATTCAGATTAGCTTTTATTTAGCAAGAACTCATGGGGTTAGTATGCACTTCCATGAGGAGGCACATAATGTCTGATCATCTCTCTTTTTGTTTCTTAGTAGGCTTTGACAATAACCACTTGGAAGCATTATTTCACTAGAGGTTGCAAAATGGTGATATATTAATTCTATCTTTCCTTTTTTATTTATTATCTGAAATAATTCTATAAAGGGAAACTTGCCCGCATCAACTCTTTAGTTCTACTGAAGTATGGTTTGCATAGAAAAGGCAGGATAAATGCTTGGTTCTCTCCCTTTATTGACCAGTTCTGAAAATAATGAGTTTGTTTTCTAGCATCTTGTAACAGTAGGATATTTTTCTTTCATTGTTGTTATTTTTTGTTTAAGAATCATTATGAATTCATAGTTTAAACATATTTGATGTATTTCAATCCATTGCAATTATTATTTTTATTGTCCCATTTTTTGACTATGGGAAGCACTTCGGAACCAGCTCCTAAGTCCTTTTTTTGTTTTGTTTTTGTCTTAAGGTTTTATTTATTTATTTATTTGAGAGAGAAAGAGAGTGCATGCGAGAGAGTGAGCAAGGGGGGAAGCAGAGTGCATGCGAGAGAGTGAGCAGGGGGGAAGAACAAAAACAGAGGTTTGTTTTTAAGTAAACTCTGTGCTCAGTGTGGGGCTCGAACTCACCACCCTGAGATCAAGAGTCATATGCTCTACCAACTGAGCCAGGGGGCACCCCTCCTGAGTCCTTTTGACACTACCCAGCAGTCTTTGATAGCTTGTATGTTTGTATTTTTTTTATTTTAAAATGCCAAGGGAAATAATAACCCTCATCAGAAAATCTAATGTAAGAGAATAAAATTATTAAAGAAGAGAAATATTAGAAAATGTTTTTATGGGCACTTGGGTGACTCAGTTAGTTAGGCGACTGCCTTCGGCTCAGGTCATGATCACAGAGTCCTGGGATCGAGCCCCACATCGGGCTCCCTGCTCCATGGGAAGCCTGCTTCTCCCTCTCCCACTCCCCCTGCTTGTGTTCCCTCTCTCGCTGTCTCTCTCTCTCTGTGTCAATTAAATAAATAAATAAAATCTTTAAAAAAAAAATGTTTTTATATCACCCGAGAAGAAAAGTTCTTCCAAGTAAGGCACAAAAATTGAGAGCCACAAAGAACTTAAAGCTTTTCTATGGCAAAATTAAGACAAGTGACAGCCTAAAAAAAAATACTTAACACATAAATGAAAGCAGAGGATTCTTTTTATACATATAAGTCAATGGCAAATGAGTAAGAAAAAGACAAATAAATGGACAAATAATATGAATAGGTAATTCCCAGAAGAATGAATGCAGGGGGCCATTAAATATGGTAGGGCCAGGGGATAGCTTGGGTGGAGGAGGGGTTTAGGCCCTTCAAAAATGCCAACAACTTCCCTTCCACTCTTTGGTCTGGACAACTAACATTTTCTCAGTCTTACGTATAAACTCAGCTTCAAGACAAAGCCTCTCCTCTCTTCCCAACCATATAACCATCCCTAAATTTCCTCCCCATGGAACTGAGTGTTCATGACCAATAAACATGAAAAAGACTCAGCCTCATGAGTAATGAGGCAACTACAAATCATAACAATACTGAGATATTGGTTTTTACTCATCAGATTGGCAATTTACAAACATTGTCTCTGCTATTGGAGAGGGGTGGGAAACATTCGCCCATGTGAGTGGTCACTGTTGGTGAAGTTTCAGGGTATTGGGAGGGCAACTTAACAATTCAAATGTACTTGACCTTTGACCCAGCAATTTCACCTTAGGATTTTATTTTATTTATTTATTTTTAAAGTTTTTTTTTTAATTTATTTTTGAGAGAGAGAGAGAGCAAGAGAGAGCGCAAGAGCCGGGGTTGGGGGACAGAGGGAGAAGCAGACTCTCCCCGCTGAGCAGGGAGCCCGATGCAGGACTCCAACCCGGGACCTTGGAATCAGGACCTGAGCCGAAGGCAGACACTTAACCGACTGAACCACCCAGGCGCCCCAGTGGCCTAGCATTTATTGACAGTTCACCAAATGTCAGGCGCTGTGCTGAGGGACATGGCTTGTCTCACTCAGTCCTCCTCATAAGAACCCTCCCCGGTAGGTGCTTTTATTATCCCCACATCACAGAGGAAAGAGATTGTCAAGTGGTTGCATCATCCACCCAGGCTGCCTGCTGGAAAACAGGAGAACCAGGGTTAGGACCATGACCCTAGCAGGTCTAGTTCTATGATGATAAACTGTCTCCCAATACATATTTTTTATTTTGTCGCTTAAATTATTTTACAATGATTATGTGTTGATTTTGTACATTAAAAAAAACAACAGCAGGGATGCCTGGATGGCTCAGTCGATTAAGCTGCTGACTCCTGATTTTGGCTCTGGTCAGGATCTCGGGGTCCTGGGATGGAGCCTTGCAGCTGGCTCCACGCTCAATGGGGAGTCTGCTTGAGATTCTCTCTCTCCCTCTCCAGCCCCTCTCTCCCCCCTCCGCCCCTCTGCCCACTCTCTCTCTCTCAAATAAATAAATAAATCTTCAAAAAAAAGCAGAAAGAAAAATATTTCATTATAAAAACAATCTCAATATTTTATCTCTAAGTCTCAGGAAAGAAGCTTCAATTCCCGGCCTCACATCGCTTCATTTAAACTGTAGGTGATGGAAAAGACTCGACTCTTTGGTTGCTCATCTAAAAGCACAGAAAGACTTAATCATGAACGGTCGCGTTGGGAAAGCTGACCATCCCCACGGTGTCGGTGAAAACGGTTTTGGTAAAAGAAGAGAAGGAAGTAAATGAAACTTACTGTTTATTCTTGTGTCACAATCCAGGGCAGCTTTTTGTACTGAAAGAGAGAAAAGGAACGTAAGAAAACTCTTTCTCCACATCACGTTTTGGTTTGGAGATGCAGGCTTCAAAATGGCAAATGGGCCTTACATATGAGAGAAGAAAAAAAGCCCCAAAAGAACAGTTTATTCAAATATCTGCACATTCTCTCAGAAGAAATTGGATGGGAGGGAAAGGAGGCGTGGTGCCCCCATAGGGGTGAGTCATTTAGGGACTTCCTCCTTTTCTGACCAACTTAAAGAAATTGGAGTTGCTGGGGCAAGCTTGAAACAATATGACTGGTTGGTTTGACCAGCATGTGTTCCCCCAGTGAGTTCTTGTACGAAGAGAGAGATGTGGTAGGTCGCCGTAACTCTGGCTGCCTGGGAAGCTGGACAGTGGGAGGAAGAAGGAAAGACAGGACTGTGATTTCGTCTTTGCAAAAACCCACCTGATCATCTCTCTCTGGATTCGGCCTGTATCGAAAGGAATTTGACGGAAGTTGGGTTCAGCCTTGGGAAGCAAATACTGACTGTCTGGAGTAGATACACACAAATGAGCCATCAGAAATGTCTGGTTGTGTTACATGCGGATTCCTAGGCCCCACTCTAGACTTCCTAGGGATAAAATTATAATTTTATTATATAAAATGGGACTCTGAATTATAAGAAAGGGTCCCAGCAGTCTCAGAGTCTCTACCATACAACCCAGAGGGGCTTGTGATTCACTTCTACTCGATCTAGAATCCTCCTGGCTCTGTGAACTGGATGTAGGAGTAAACCCGATGTTCCAGTGTCACCAGTCTGCGGTAGGGAGTGGGATGTGTTGAGGGGCTTTCCAAGTGGAGGGAGCTGTGACCCAGCCAGGCCCCTTTGGCGCAGTGATTTCTGTTGCCATTAGCGGGCCTGCCCGATAGGTCTGGCACTTTCCTGTGGACAAGCACCCAGTTCCCTGCCCAGGTACATGTTCTTCTGGGGCATTGTCCAAACTCCTGTATTCACTCACTCCGGGTGCTCCTTGCTTGGGCTCCCCAGGTCCCATCCTATGGTGGTCAGTCATTCCAAGTCCCACACATGGCCACCACGGGGGGACTGAGCAAAACCAGGGTCTGCCGCCTGGCTACCACCATCTGGAAGCAAATCATGAGTTAATTCTCAGTGCCTGGAAGGCCTTTATTCCCTTCTGACAGTAAAAGTTACTGTTTCGGCACCCACTCTTCTAAAAAACACGACCCTCAGGGATTGACAGTGATTTTTCATTCAGGGATATTGGCAGTCATGTCTCTCACTAAAGAGAGGGAGGGGAAGAAGCTCACCAGCTTAATCTCTGGTGGGATGATCCTTCTGTCAGAATTTTTGCCAAAGGAAATTGGAAGTTTTGCAGGCATTGCTGTTTTGACACTTTTCCCACCAACATCTCACGCATCCTTGCCTGGGCAGGGTGGGGGTTGGGCTAGTTCCTGGGAACTTTCATGCCCAGGGGGAACTGGGAAGGGGGTGATACTTTGAGAAAAGCTGATGTGTTTGGGGCATTTCCCCATGTGAAACTCAGCTGGGTCAGGAAACTTGCAGGCCACAGCTTAGACACAAAGACTGTAAAGGAAACCAGAGGAAGTGCAACTTGCATCTGTTAGCAAACACTGGTTGCTAGGAGTGCTTTAGCGAGCCTCCAGAAAAGGAAAGTAACTTGTCCAGGGTTACAGGATAAATCAAGAGTGAAGTCTCAAATGGAAAAAGAAAAAGTTTATCCATGGACCTGTCACATTCAGTAAATTTAGTATATTCCTTTCTGTTGTCTAAGAGCTTCACACTGATAATCTAATTTAATCCTTATAAAATATCTATGAGGTATGCAGAGGTATTAAAAATATTTAACAATCACAAAACAAAACAAAACCCACAGGAAAAAAACCAACAAAAAAATTAACAACCAGCAGAGTAATGTAAATACATAACTCGATGCACAGATCAAAAATTTTAAAATATATCCCACCACCACCCCTCTTTTATCTCTAAGTAAACAAGCCATGTTCTAAAGCTACTTAACCAGTGATATACGTTTGTATGCAAATTGTTCATCAAATCATTCTCATAATTTCCAAAAATTTGTTGTTGTTAAGAAATGGTTGGTGCAGTCTTTTGTTATAGGGCTCACTGTCTGGGATGATATGATATGGGGAACTACCTTGAACTTTTCCAATGAATTCCTTGAAATAGATGGCCATTGGATAACGTGTAGTCTCAAATAAATAGAAAATTTCTCTTCACATCAAGAATATTGTTCATGGTAGACATTTCTGCAAAGAAGACATACAAATGGCCAACAGACACATGAAAAAATGCTCAACATCACTTAACATCAGGGAGATACAAATCAAAACCACAATGAGATACCATCTCACATTGGTCAGAATGGCTAAAATTAATAAGTCAGGAAACAACAGATGTTGGTGAGGATGCAGAGAAAGGAGAACCATTGGTGGGGATGCAAGCTGGGACAGCCACTCTGAAAAACAGTATGGATATTCCTCAAAAAGTTGAAAATAGAACTACCCTACAACCCAGCAATTGCACTACTAGGGATTTACCCTACAGATACAGACATAGTGATCTGAAGGGGCACCTGCACCCCGGTGTTTATAGCAGCAATGTCCACAATAGCCAAACTGTGGAAAGAGCCCAGATGTCCATTGACAGATGAATGGATAAAGAAGGTATATATATGTATATATATGATGGAATACTACTCAACCATCTAAAATGAAATCTTGACATTTGCAATGACATGGATGGAACTAGAGGGTATTATGCCAAGCGAAGTAAGTCAATCAGAGAAAGACAATTATCATATGATCTCACTCATATGTGGAATTTAAGGAAAAAGAACAGGATCATAGGGGAAGAGAGGGAAAAATAAAACAAGACAAAATCAGAGAGGGAGACAAACCATAAGAGACTCCTAATCATAGGAAACAAACTGAGGGCAAACTGAGGGTTGCTGGAGGGGAGAAGGGTGGAGGGATGGGGTAACTGGGTGATGGACATTAAGGAGGGCACATGATGTAATGAGCACTGGGTATTATATAAGAATGATGAATCACTGACCTCTACCTCTGAAACTAATAATACATTATATTTTTACCAACTGAATTTATTTTTTTTTAAGATTTTCTTTATTTATTTGACAGAAACACACACACACACACACAGAGGGAACACAAGTAGGGGGAATGGGAGAGGGAGAAGCAGGCCTCCCACTGAGCAGGGAGCCTGATGCGGGGCTCAATCCCAGGACCTTGGGATCATGATCTGAGCTGAAGGCAGACGCTTAACGACTGAGCCACCCAGGCACTCCTACGAACTGAATTTAAATAAAAAAATTTTTAAAAAGAATATTGTTCATGGTGTTAAATCTTCAACCCCTGGTGAGCAATAATAATTACAAAATTTTAAAACCTTCCAGCCCTTATAATGATGTTTGTAATTTTTCTAAATCCGGTATTTCTATCATCTTATATTTCTAAATCACAAAAGTCATTTAATCTGTTGGTATAATATCTATCCTTCCACGGAACTTTACAAATACCATTTGGTAAAGTAACAGGATTCAATAACTTGTAGAATTCACTTATTTTCACTTTTGCCCACAGAGAGCAAATGCATTTTCATATAATAATTATTTTAAAATACTGCAGTTTTCCTCTGGGAATTGATACTTTATTTTGTTTTGTTACAAGTGGTGTGCCATGTTTTCTACATTTTTCTAGTATCGTCTACTTGTCTTTCATCAAACTAATCTTATAAATCTAAAAGTAATATCTCGGTTAGACTATCACTAAGGATACAGCACCCCCACAATGTCTCCTTTTCCAAAGATTTGGCCATCTCCATCAACATGAACATGCAAGACTCCATAGTTCCCAAATCGTTTGTTCTGTAGGCACTACCAGCCTGCACAGGGCCAAGAAACTTCCAGTTTTCACGTCTTCATTCCCAAGTCTTGAGATAATTGCTTAACTGTCTCTGATGTTTATTTGATGCAAGATGGTAAAAATAAATTTCATCGGGCACACACATTAAGTCATCAACGTGATTCACATCCTTAACGACATCACCCAGAAATGACTCTGAAGAGTTAGACACCCCTCACCTGCCCCAGGACAGGCTTCTGAGCCACAGAGTCTGAGATGGGATTCATGAGTATGTGACTTATTGAGGGAGTGACAGAAGGAGAAGGGAAGGGGACGGGGAAGTAGGGCAGAACAAGGGAAGAAATGAAGGAGAGGGGTTCAGCTGAAGTTGACCCCACTGCCTGCTCCCACAGGGAGAGACAGGGTATGAGTTGTATCACTGGGTTTGATCCTTCTCATGACAAGGGAGCTGGGTTTTTACACCCCCTGCTGATCATTCAGTCGTTGGTCAAGGGCCTGGAGGGAGGTAGGAGGTTGTGCACCTGGGTAGAACTACCCAGGTGTCTCCAGATGTGCTGTCCTCCAGAGAGGATGAACTGTTCTACTCAGTCTGGAGGAGGGGAGCTGGGCTTGCCCAACAGCCCATACCCACCACCAAACTAAAGGGTCTAGAAACAGCTTCTAAAATCTTGGCTAGATTTGCCAGGTTTCCTCTCTATCCTGCTCCGGTACTCCAACACTGCACAAAATCCAGTAAGGTTTTCATGAAACATCCCTGAAACCATATTTCTCAAGTACAGACAATAATATTTGGGTATAGTATTGCAGTTCCTTCGCCTCTAAGAGGTGAACAAAACCAACAGACTATTTTCAGAGTCTTGAATTTTACATTTTAAGTAATCTAAAAATACATATTATGGAAATAGTTGGAGCTTTGGGGAAAATGATGGAAATTTTATTGTCTTAATTTATAAATTTTCCAAAATTAGTTTTCTTATTTAGATAGTTATATTTTACAAGCAGGGCCATTGATATGGGTCACAATGATACACCCTGTTTTTTATTCTTTTTGAGATGCTATTAATTTTATGCCTAAAAATAATTATTTAAAACTACACATTAAATTGTTTTAAAAATTCTGATAGCATTTTGTGAATATCCTCACTTGCTTTATAGGTACAATTTTGATTTGAAAATTTCCAGAATTGTATTATTTCAGATATATGTGTGAAACAGATTTAAGGTAATCTTTTCATTATTTTGCTAAGATTGTAGGATTTATTAGAGCAATGAACTTTGTCTGCATATGATTACCATTCTGATT